ATCCACTAAAGCTCCTACTACCTGTGTGGTTCATTGACTTCTGGAATCTAGAACCCTGTTTTCTCTGGCAGAGCATTTACGAATATGATGATCCAGGAAAAGCAAGGGGGTTCTCAGAAGGCAAGCATCATGGACATGTCTCCATGCAGTGATGGGCAGCAGTGGCCACATGCAGTGATGGCCAACAGCCAGGACCCAGCCTTGGACCCAGGTCCTCAGTAAAAACACAAGTCGTGATCATGTCATAATTCAGCCAGCATGGCAAAGGATGAAACTCTAGGTCTTGGATATTGTGTGTGTATGTGTGTCTTTCCACATCAGTGCTGAGGACATTGTTTTCTTATCATGACAATGGACCAAAAGAATAATGTTCATCAACACTGATGAGCAGAGCAGAAGGCTGAGGCCACTGCCCACGTGAACTGGGTCAAAAAACACCTAGGAAAGGCAGGATCAAGACAGGAAGTGTCTTGATCATTTGCCTACACCACCCAAATTTGCTCTATAATTGCTTGTTCTGATTCTATTTTTTGCGTTTAATTTTGTGATGTTCTTCTTTGAGTAAGGGGAGGAGAAGCACTTTAAGTTTGCCTGGGTACAGGTTTCAAAGCCATCTGCAAGGCTAAAGCGGGAGTGTAAACAGGAACGCAGATTTGGAGGCGAGGCTTAAAAATACACTTCCCATGTCGCCAAGATGTGAAGGGAAAGAAGCCGTGGCTTTTTCTGTACACATATTTCAATGCCAGAAGGGCCATTTCCTTTTTACGGGCTGAGAAGTGTGCACAGGCCATCTGCTCACTGGCTTCAAGAACCATGTGAGAACCATCTTACCTATGGGCCTGTTTTCTCGTTTGTAAAGTAGCTGTGATAATAACTACAGTTTAAAGAATATAATGCATGCAGTTGTTATAAGAAGTAAATGAAACATAAGTTATAGAAAGCACTTAGACATTTTCCTAGTCGTGTGAAAAGTTATTATTCTGGTTAGTGATTTTGTAACTTCTCTCCCATCTCCACTAAAGTCAATTCTTATTCAGACTTTGAGAAGTTATACAATGAATGATTTTTTTAATCTTTTATATTTGTGACAGTGTTAGATAATATTTGTGATCATTTGATACTTTCTCTAGGAATGTGTGTATGTGCATGCACAGGTTATGCTGTGTGTGTTGATGTTTTAGTGTGTGTAGGTATAGTTGTGCATGTATTAGTGTGTACATGTGTGCAACTGTATGTGAATGTGTATGTGTGTTGGTGTGTGTATATGTAGGTATGCACATGTTGGTACATTGCATGTATGTAGGTGTATGTGGTTATATGTTAGTGTGTGTGCATGTATATGTGTGTGTTGGAGCTTGTGTGTGTGTGTGTGTGTGTGCATGTGACAGAAACATTGAAACATCAGGAATTCTTGGAAAGAACAGAAACATACGTGACTTTGTTCATCTACTGATTACTTGGCTCCCAGAAGGATTGTCTGTTCTTGTCTGTCTTACTATTTCTCTTCCCCCCCCCCGGGAGAACTATGTGAAATTATCACAAGCTCCCCGCTCTTCTTGGCAAGCCATAGTCTCACTCAGTAACATCTAGACTCTACAGTGTTATAGACAATTCTTGGGCTTGGGAAGCTTGGATTCGGGTTCAGGCTCAATCACTCACCAGTCCTATATCTTAGAATAGCCTCATGGCCACTCCAGTGCCACTTGGGGGGAAGGTTAGTGGACCGTTCCCCTGTACTAGGATCATTGTGCTTCTCTATTGAGTGGCTGGAAGTAACATTTAAATCATAGATCACTTGGATTATTAGGGCAGACTTACTGATATAAAGATGGTTAAAACACTGCTCTGTGACAGATTAAAGAGGTAATACCATCATGGTAGTAACAGGTTAATTTTGATAATCAAGACATTCAAAGAGGATAAACAATAGATGCCATTATTGACTTAAAATCTGAGTATTTTAACCCATTGCTTCCGCTCGCATTTTGTATCAAAAACTTCCTCCAAAATTAAACAAAATTAGGAGCAGGCTTGTTCCCAGAGCCCTCTGACCCTTTGTCTTGTGGGTCTGAGGTCACAGTACAGACCTATGACAGTCTGCTTCTCTTCTGATGACTAAGAAATGAGCAGTGAGTTGTTGGACTAATATTTGGTGTTGGAAAAAGGTCAGGACGACTCTGACCAGGCCTGAGTTTAAGTCCCCATCAGAGTGAGTGAGTGTGAGCAAGTATTGGCTTCTCTACGACTAGATTCCTGGGCTGCAAACATCTTCTCTGACCCTGGATGACGGTGCTTTGCATAGTTTCTTTCCTGTGTGTGTGCTGGTAACCCTCCCATTGACGTGAAGGCCCTGGTGGGCAGTGCTGGCTGATGTCTGTGATTATCCTGTTTCTAATCGGTCAACCAGGGGTGGAATAACTGGCCTGCTAAACCCCAACCACTGAGAACCCACACCAGCACCCCTCCACCTAACACATAGCCATTCAATCTTTAGAGACAGGAAGTCAGTCAAGCTGATGGCTCCATCAAGACAGCATCCTACAGAAGATCATGAAGGGATTTCTGTAATCTGGAACAGAGAGTATTCTAGAATAGCAGAATCAATAGGAAGTATCTGTCATGTTTACACCCCACACACACACACCACATATTACACACACACACTCACTCACACCACATATCACACACATGCGCATTCACACACATACACAGAAAGGGAAAGAAAGAGATTTAATCTTACAGAATTCACTAATATGATTTGGAGCTAGCAAGTCTAAAATTTGTAGGGCAGGCTAGCAGCTGGAAATCCATATAAGAACTGGTTTTGTAGCATTGAAATAATAATCCATAAAGCAAGCCAATTATCTGGGTAAAAATTTCTTTGGTGTTGATTTTGAGGAAAAAATTCTTGGGCCCACACACATTATGGAGAGACCTAACTGACTATAAAAGTTGATAAATTTACAAACACCTAAACATCTAGGCCAGTGTTTAAATGGCAGAGCACAGTAACCTAGCTGGCCTAAAACACAAAGTAGCCTATCACAGAGATCAGAATTCCAGAAGAAACTATGCAGGAAGAAAAGCACCATGAGTTATTATTAATATCCTCAGAGAGATAAGATTTTATGATCATAATACACAAATCTGAAGCTAAACTTGTACATTAGCCAAAATAAAGGGCCAGTGAGGTGGGGGGACTTCTTCAGTGACATAAAAAAAGAAAGGGGGAGGGTTGGAAGATGTCGGTGTCAGTCAGTCTCAAAAACAATTCAAAATGAGAAACTGTCCCCCAGAACTCAAGCAAGAAGTGAGAATTTCAGAGCGCAGACAAGATAGAGAGTTCCGGGAAAATCTAAATCTCAGATACAAATAAGAAAACTTCCATGAAGATGGAAGAAAGAACAAAGGAAATCACCAATAAAATGATGCAAGAAAATTTACCAAATTGAAGGATGAGAATTTCAAGATTATAAGGGCCTATTGGGGATCCAGCACAGACTAGAACAAGTCCATGCTAAATCACAGACTAGATAAAGGTCATGAAATTCCAAAATTATGGCCTGCCTACATATTTGGGGAAAAAAATCAGGCTTCTTACAAGCTTCAGAGACTTTGGATTTCCCAAAAACAATAAGCAGAAGATTGCTTCAGTTTCCTAATGTAATCTAATTTTCAATGAGGCCTAAGGATTTAACCATACAAATTCTCATAAAATTTGCCTCCTACAACCCCTTCCTCTGAGAAGCAATTACAGAATCTCTAAATGAAAGAGAGAATAAACCAGGTGATTCCAAAATTAAGTTTTAACATAGTATACACAGGAGCTGCATGAAGGGTCAACTATTGGAGGCAGAGCTTCCAGAAGCTTCACAGAGACCATAGCCTGGGGAAATATAAGTCAACGTGTGCAGTTGAAATAGGAAACCCAACTGGTGAAAAGTCTGGAGGTCAATTTAAATAAGTATTCAGAAAAAGTGCAATCCAAAACACAAGTCCATCTTCGTTTAATTTTTAAAGACAAAGACATGCATAAAAATAAAAGTAATAATTCCCTAAGCAGCTTAGCTACAAATAACATATTATAGCTAATTAAAATAATGCAAATACTGCTTGTTTCATTAACATTAAAAGACTACATCATATTGAAGGAAGGCCATCAGAAGACTGTCCATGTGTGGTGTGAATGATGTTTGAAATAAAAGATATAAAGGGAAGTAAACAGAGAATAATTGTTAGAAACAATCGCAAAGTATCAACATTCCACAGAAGAAAAGGTAAAAATGCTAAAAGGGATACGTGGGCTCTTACTATGGCAGTATAAACACTGTGATTGACAAGGCAGAACTCAAGAAACTCTCCCATTTGTAAGTCTAACTCTAATAACAACAACAATCTGTTATTGAAAAACAATAACCGTAATACAGTATCCTTTCCACCCCACGACACAGGTAATATTCAGAGAGTCTGCCTTCCTCTGATAGCTATGTTTTCTGTAGTGCAGACATCAGTGCCTACTTTTACATGACAAGTTCATGAACAGAGTGTGAAGGAGATGTGGAGATGAGGCTTTGCGTAGAGGAGGTGAAGGGTTAGGGCTTGAGTTTCAGTTGAGTTGACTTGGCCTCACTTGGAGCTCAGGGTCCAAGGGAGCATGGCACCAGTGACTTCTCCCATTGTCAGCTGTCACCATCTGCAGAAGGTGATAGAGAAAGCACTGTCACCTTGCTAACCATGCTGGTCTCTGCTCTTAGTGTCTCTGACAATATCATTAGCATTATTTCCAATCTGGACAATTAGGTGAATATTTTCTGGACTAATACAGAATCCAAACTTTACCCTGGTATTTTATGACAAATGAGTTTCACATAGCCAATGTGCTGATCACTATTGAGCCTTGCTCACGATAAGGAGCTAGGAATACTTGTTACAGATGAGTCTAAGGACTCTGCTCATCATTGTGGCATCCTCAGCTCATGAGGCCCTCTCTTTCCCCCCAGGCTATCAGTGTTCCTGTCTCTCACAGTTCACGGGGAGAAACTGTGAAGCAGAGATCACAGCCTGCTTCCCCAACCCTTGCCGGAATGGAGGATCCTGCGACCCCATAGGAAACACCTTTGTCTGCAGCTGTAAAGCCGGCCTCACAGGCGTCACGTAAGTGCGACTGTTCACAGACTCCCCTCTCTCTACACTGCTTCTCGTCCTAAGAAAACAACCTAGCATGTAGTTCATTAGGATAAATGGACACGTGGCTGTCTTTCCTACACAGTGCTCAGAGGGGCTCAGTAGGAGTAGTGGCTGCAGTGCAAGAAGGCGTTCAGATTTCCTAGCACCCAACATAAAAACCTGGGCATGGTGTCATAGACTTGTCATCTTCAGGCTGGTATTTCCCGGGTCTCATTCGTCAGTCAGTCTACTCAAACTGTGTGCTTTAGGCTCAGTGAGGGATGGGGATTACAAAAGACAGAGATGAGAAGTGATGGAGGAAGACAGTGATGTACACCTCTGGTCTCCACAGGCATGTGCACACAACCACACTGACGAGAAAACACCACACACACACACACACACACACACACACACACCCTCTGGTCTCCACAGGCATGTGTACACAACCACACTGACGAGAAAACACCACACACAGGCATACACACCACTAACTACATTTTTTAAAGTACTTACAGTGTCAGTAGGGAACCCCTTAGGGTTGTGTCTAATTTGTATATTTTACTATATCCCTTTGTACTTTCAGGCTTATTCAATTCCTGTGTATTCTATAAGCACTTCAAATGTGCTTGGCATTAGCTAAAATTTCCAATATGATTATGAGATCTACATAAAACTCACTTCCCAGAACTCACCAACTGGACTCTACTATCTCGTGTTTAATGGCTATTCTGAGAAATTAGTCCTTATCTTGCCTTTGAAAACCCTTTTCCTCCAGGAAATGAGGGAAATTTAAGTGTTAGTCAGGTGGAAAGGGAATGCTTTAAATTCTGAGTGAAAGGCCACTTCCAGGCATGCGCAATGGTTTCGAAGTGTGCTCTCGGTGAGGGATAGTCTAATTACAGGTCAGTCTGGCACGTTCATTAGAGCGAGTCTCTAAGGACTCCGCCTAGAAATACTTAGCTGATGTTGAACTGCTGGATGTAATTTAAAGTAATAAAGCTGCATTTATTTTTAAATACCTTGTGATTCTAATTTCTGGTTGACCTGGCCTCAATCTGTTCAAATTGGGGATAGTTGGACTGCATTTTAAAAGGTGGATTACCAAAACTATAGATGAGTCAGCCTCTTCCACGGCGTATCGGAACAATTGCTTAAGTAGAGAGGCATGGAGGACAGAAGTTCCAGCACGTGCATCGGAACAATTGCTTAAGTAGAGAGGCATGGAGGACAGAAGTTCCAGCACGTGCTGTCAGTGTTAAAGAAGGAATCAGACTAAAGGCTTGCCGTGTGGGGCCAGAGAGCCAGACCGGTGGTGAAGACTGCTTACTGCTTTTCCAGAGGTCCTGAATTCAGTTCCCACCCACGCTCCAGCTCCAAGGGACCCAGTGCCCTCTTCTAGCCCGTGCAGGTACCTGCACACACATGGAATACAGACAGACAGACAGACTCACAACACACACATGTCAAAATTAAAAATGTCTTTAAAAGCCTGCTTTGTAGTTATACTACTGTGGGGGTGAAAGAGGCCTAGAACTGCCCCCAGATCCCTTCCTTGTCCATTTCTCCCACCTGGTGCAACCATCCATATTTCCCTGTGGAAATATTGGGGGATTTGATTATGAGGTCCTACATGGCACCCTTGGGGAAGGGGTGCAGAAGCGTTTTACACGATGCAAGAAATGCATACTATATGCTGTTTTTGAAATTGCACAGTTTTAAATTCAGTGTGCACCTGATGCAGAGGATGGGAGAGGGTTCCTTTCCCACACCATCTGTCCTTCCCTTTATGCTCCTCTCCCAACAGCTTGTCCTTCTCCAAATCCCATGGAGACCTGAGAGGGCACACCTTGACGCAAGGAAATGGGCAAGAGATCGGTGGACACAGAAATATATAAATTCATCCTTATATGTGTGCCCCTGTGTACGTACACAATGCACACACAGAGATATGAACACATAACCTACGAGTATGTTCAAACATATTCTCACATATGTATGTACACACTGCCGCTTGGCATGGTCCTCTTTCGGGGGTTCCGTCTGTTTTAAAGCCTTTTGTCTGAGCTCTGATGTTGGAAGGGCTTCTGTGTGCATTGTCTCTAAAGGTGCGAGGATGATGTGGACGAGTGTGAGCGAGAGGAGTGTGAGAATGGAGGCTCCTGCGTCAACCTCTTCGGCTCCTTCTTCTGCAACTGCACCCCAGGATATGTGGGTCAGTACTGTGGCTTGCGTCCCGTGGTCGTGCCCAACATCCAAGCTGGCCACTCATATGTGGGCAAGGAGGAACTAATAGGCATTGCTGTGGTCCTCTTCGTCATCTTCACCCTGGTTGTGCTCTTCATCGTCTTTCGCAAGAAGGTCTTTCGAAAGAACTACTCGCGGAACAACATCACGCTAGTGCAGGACCCAGCCACAGCCGCGCTCCTGCACAAGAGCAACGGCATCCCATTCCGCAGCCTGCGGGCGGGCGACGGGCGCAATGTGTACCAGGAGGTGGGGCCGCCTCAGGTGCCAGTGCGCCCCATGGCCTACACACCCTGCTTCCAAAGCGACTCCAGGAGCAACCTGGACAAGGGCCTGGACGTACTGGGTGGTGAGCCACAGGAGATGAGCACGTTCCACCCGGAGTCCCCTCGCATCCTGACTGCGCGTCGGGGCGTGGTGGTATGCAGCGTGGCCCCCAATCTCCCAGCTGTGTCTCCCTGTCGCTCGGACTGCGATTCCATCCGAAAGAATGGCTGGGACACAGGACCCGAAAGTGAGTGAGATGCAATAATGGGCGGGTGCCCCGGGAAGCCCCTGGTTGGTTTTAGCCATGCTAACCTCCGAGAAGGAGGGAGGAAGGAAAAGGGGCACTCTCACGACTGAGTCGAGTGTGGCTGGGGTCGCCCAGCATCGGGCAGAAGGTGGGGTTTAGCACCCACAGGGAGGCAGGCGGTTAAGCAAGTGAGTGGCACTAGCTAGTAGCAGTTTTAAAGACCGCCCTGACAGACCCAGCAGGGACTGAATTAGACTTAGAAGGAAGGCTGAGTTGGCAAAGAAGGTGACTGCTCCCTGCCCTGGCCTCAGACTAAAGCAGACTCTGCTGTCCCCTGGCTTATCAGCAGGCTGCACAGCTTTCATATGCCAGAGAGAAGTCTGCGTTTCTGTACTGTGCTGTATATGGGGAAGGAGGATGGAGTGGGTTTCAAAGGGTCCTACAGAGCATGTTCAGACAAGGAAGTAAACCGCGCTCCTGGAAAAAGCAGGCATTACTGAGCCATTACATGACTTAAGCATGAGTCAATTTCAGTAGGAAGCTATTGGAGAAGGGCTCCTAGAATCAGGAAGCAGTCAGATCAGTATTAAGGATGCATGTGGGGGTTGGGGACCAATCCAGAAGTCGAAGAGATGATGGTTGGCCATCATCTGCACATGAAGAAAGAGAAAGTCGGCCGGCTGAACCTCTGAGAGAAAATTGGAGATCCCTGTTTGACGGCAGAGGGTGGAATGGGAAACAAATTCTCCCTGAAAAGCAAGAGAAGGGGGAAGAGAGATGGCGTTTAACACAAAAGCTGAAGCATGTCCATGAGGTTCATAGTGTGCTGCACTAGGAACTGACCGAGACAAAGGGATACATACACGTGGGGTAGACACTGTGATCTGAAGAGAATGCTGGGGTAAAGCTGCCAGCAATGTGTGTCTGCCATGCGATAGTCTGTCCAGCACGGGTATCATCACCAGCTCCTGGGGAAGACTAGCCTGAAGGACAAACAGGTCCCAAATCTGCCCTTAGCAGAACTGCTCCGGGAGCTCAGCAGGAAAGAGGCAAGGCAGAGTAGAGAGAGCATCGCTCCATGGGAGGGGAGACACAGGACAAGGTCATTCTATTCTAATGTCACCAACATGCCACCTGCTGGTTCTGTCCTGTGGACACACATGGCTTTTAAGTCATCCCCTGGGCTCTCAAGTGGAGTCAGGGATCATACAATGCTGTGGAGAGACTCGTGCTTGGTTGTCATTACTGTGTGTGTGTGTTGGATCTCACTATGCAGCACCACCTGTCGGGCCTGGAACTTAGGGGTCCACCCGCCTCTGCCTCCGAGGTCCTGGAATTAAAGCTGCGTGCTACCACACACCCAGCCAAAACCCTCCTTTTTATTTTGGAAGTGAAAGGAGTTTTGAGTTAAAGGCAAAGCAAGGGACTTGCAGGTGTCACTGCCACCCCCAGGGCCATCTGACCACCTGCCTGCTCTTCAGTGCTCCGGGTTCAGCCATGAACGCCTTGTCCTTTGAATGGCCAAGCTTTGAGTTGTGGCTGTTGGAGGTGAATACACACACAAGCACACATGCACACGCGTCTCTCCACACCTCTATAACTCGTTTGTCTAAGGCCCTGGCTTAGCAGAAAGCAGGTGGGGCTCTCATGTTTGCTCCTGATGTTGCTCTTTATGGGGGGATCGGCAGCTTCAAAACAAAATAACTATCCCCATAATCACAGGTCTGTGTCTCTGCACCCTCACATCCCAGGACGCTCTGCAGTATTTCTTGGAGAATATTTTCCGTCACCACCTCCTGACATGACAGCTTTATTTTCAGAATCAACCTCAGGCCAAAACTCACACTTCCCCCTGAAGTATCATTGGATTTTATAGAGCGCGCTTTACCCTTTGTTAAACAAGCCACAGTTAGAGCTAGCAAGACAGTTTCTGACAACTAATTCATTGTGGGCTTGACCACCTCAAGATATGGTGCTTTTTGTTGCTTCCTACACCTCCTAAATTAGAAAAGGGTGTGTGTGAGTGAGTGTGTGTGTGTGTACAGGGGGTCTAGCTATTTTCCTATAGCAGAGACAGAGAGAAAAATAAATACCAAGTGAATAAGGGAGAATTCACATCAGCCTGTCCTCTTACCAGACAGAGAACATCGGCAGCCACAAGATGAAACACCACTGCCCTCTAGAAGGCAGGGCTGAAAATTCCACTCCTCCCCAGAGATGGAAGCTGGGAAAAATATAACGGCTTTCTTGCCTATAAAATATTTATGCCCCTGTTTTAAAAGTAATCTCATTTAACCTGGTGTTGACACCACATTGGTTCATGTAAATGACATAAATTAAGTCTGAATGAAGAGCAGCTCAGCTACTCCATCCTCATTCCACTCTCTCCTCAGTCCTCACTTGGAGGCAGGAACACTTACTTTCAGCTGACAGCTATTCGGAAGCTCATTTACCACGGGTTAAGGGTTCCAAATCCATAATGTAAATCACTTGATTGACAGACCTTTGCCCCCTATGGCACAATCAATTTTCCTTTGTGGAGCTAACTTATTTTCTCGAAGCAAATCAGAAAGCTTCTAAGAAAAAAAGGGGTAGGGAGGGAGAGAGCAAGACTGAAGGATTGCACAAGGCTGAGTGATGGTTCTGCTTTCTCCTGCCTGTCCATGAAGACAAAGGGGCTGATGACCCGGGAGAGGTGACCTGCTTCACAAGCAGTAACAAAGGGAGCAACTCCGAAGTTCAGTCCCTCAGCTCCTTCCAGTCAGACTCTGGTGACGACAATGGTAAGCGCATTGCCTGTCCTGTACTGGGGTCAGCAGGAGAGGGGAGGGGGCAGCACTGCTATTGTTTCTTCATCTGTGTGTTGACTTTTTACTGTTTTTACCCATTGTTGAGAATCCTTGCCAGAGGAGTCAATGTGCCGCTGGTCAGGGCAGGATCTGCATCCGTGGGGCTTGGACGGTGACAGAATTGCCTCCTCCCCATGATGCTTCACAGCAAACCTGACAATGCAGTCCCTTTCTTGCTGCCTGTGTCCTCTCACCCTTTGCATTCAGCCACCACATCATTGGACATTACTTTGGAGACAGGATGGCTATTCTGTAGAGCCAGTGATGCCTTTGTTCAATTGAATTTCCCTTCTAATCAATCTTTTGGGGTCGTGGGATTTTGGAGAACTGATTTAAAAACTGTGACACAGACTCTTAGGGGGGAAAAATGCCTGTCTGCCCAGAATGCTGCACACAAATCCCTGTGGTTCACAGACTGCTTTGATAACTCCAAGTCGGGTGCATCCAGATCCCACAAACCTGTGCTGGTGGAGAAGAAGCTGGTGTCTCTAGGAAACCAGCTGTGGAGGGTCGGCAGTGACGGAAGAAGAAAGTCCAACTAGCAATGTTTGTCACGTGGTGTTAAAGCAAAAATTATTTCACATGATCATCCAGGGGCAGGCTGCCCCACCGCAGCCAACACCTTAGGTGGCCTCTCCCTTTTACCATCAGCAAGAAAAAAGATTGCACTTGCTAATCAATGTGATCTTTCAGCACATGAACCCTGGCTAGTCCACTGTGCGCTGCCTTTTGGGCTGTGTATTCTGTATGCAGAAAAACAGATTGAGAACAACACAGCCCCAGTCTCTGAGCCAACAGAGGGAAAGTAACCAAGAAGTAGTTATAGAATTGCAATAGTTTGCTTTTTCATGTGTAACCCAAACCTCTCCCACATGGTCCCTCAATACTAGCCACACCTGAAGAAGTTTCAGTGTGGGGGTTGGGAAAATGACTCCATAGGTAAGAGCACTTGTTCTGTACCTAAGGGCCTGAGCTAGGGTCCCTGGCATCTACAAAAAAGTCACATGTATGCAGCGCATGGCTAACCCAAGCCCTGGGAGGAAAAGACAGGGCAGGCGGCAAGCCAGCTTTCCAAGCTTCCTGTCCACTGACAGAACCTGCCTCGAGGCAGTGATGCTGAGAGAGAGAGATAAACATTTAGGCATTCAGCTCTGGCCTCCACACTCGATTGCACTGGCCTGTGAGCCTGTATACATGCATATACCACACACAAACACGCTTGCATGAGCACACACACATATAAATACATACATAAAAGCACACACACTGATGTATCTATCTGCTGGGATAACAAACCATGTATCTTAATTTCTTCTGGCCAGTTTTGAAACAAAGGCACTGGCCTCTGACCCAAGTGTATGATGTATCCTCCCTTCTTTACCTCCAGTGAGATTAAGAAAAAAAAAAAACTATAGCAACCTTGCATTTTATGTTAAACTTTGAGAACATATAGTTTCAGAGACCAGGAAGTAGCTCCAGCCATAATGTCTGGCTGATGGTTCTCAAAGGCTCTCTAACTCACACGCCTACCCCTTCAGGATCTGCATCTGGGCAGGAAGCGCTAGGCCCTTTCATCTGAAGTCACATCATCTAAAGCAACCCTAATAGACCAGAGGCCTCCTTCACATACCCCAAGCCTCACCAGCTAGAGATAGGCCTCTGGTTGGTCTGGACCATCAGTGGCATGTGTGAGGCCATCAGACTCATAACAATACCCAAACTCCTACACAGTTGACATTGTATTCAGAGCACATTGGTGACCAACAAGGAATTATGTCCAGGAATAGTCCTCCTCTGAGGGCCTCGGATGGTGCTAATGAGAACTCTCCATGAGTTCTGTGGGCCAATGTCTTCCTGGTTTGAAGTGACAGGTCGTGGAGTGAGAAGTAATGACTCAGGGATCCTTGACAATCATGCTTTTTAGAAGTATGGCCTCCTAGCTTTCTGTTGTTTCTATTCTGTTCCGACAGAACCCAGGCCTCCATATATAAGTGTCCTCTTGACACCAGCCCTGAGGGACAGATTGTGGAAAGGAGTTTGTGTCTAATGTCTTCATTATTGTTGTTATTAGTCATTAACATGTGTTTGAAATATGTGACTAACCAGGAACTGTCCCTCCCCTCCCTCCTGTCTTCTTTTCCCACCAAAAGCATCCATAGTGACTGTCATTCAGCTTGTCAACAATGTAGTTGACTCTATAGAGAATGAAGGTATTTACAGTTATTTTTTGGTTTTGATTTTTGTTTGTTTGTCTCCTCCTTTCATGGCATGTCTGTGTCCTTCTGGAAAGTGTGCTTCTGTGGTACTTTATCTGAACTGACTGTAATCGATTGGAAGTGCATGATAATGGTGGTTTTAAGTGAGATACTGGGGTCAGGGATGTAGCTCAATGATAGACAGCTGCCTAGCTAGCCCAAGACTCGGGCTTTGTTCTCCAGCACCAGAAAACAAATCAAATTCAATGCCAGATGTCTCTCTATTGATTGCAATAAACTTAGTAATTTTGAGAGAAAAATCTAGTTCATATTTTTAAATATCTAGGTTCTCTTATCAAATGTCTTCAAGGTAAAGAACATTCATCTGCAATCCAGGTTAATCAGTTAACATTACATTCATTCTAGTATGTTTTGAATACCTGCTGTGAGCTGTGGATACTTATAAAATCATGAGAAATGAAAATTTTATGAGGATTAATTTATAGCAGGTAATTTTGTCAGTGCTTTAGTAAAATTATAACAAAATACAGATGGGGTTTATGTCTTAATTTCCTAACTAGTGACGAGGGGAGGGGGTTAAAAGTCTAAACTCAGTGTTAGCCTTGGTTCCTAAGGAGCGGTCTTAAGGCTTCTGAATTACCTGCTTTGTCTGTCTTCCCATGGCCTGGATGGCCCGATTCACTTTTCACTTTGTGTTTGAACAGTGTCTGTCATGGATCAAGGACAGAACTACAACAGAGGTGACTCTGCCACCACCCAGGATGACAGCTTATTTCTGTGTTTCGCACCTCTCCTCTCATACTGACCATGCCCCTCTCCGTCCCCTCTGAGTCTCCCAGTTTGAGTTTTGCATGTTACAGGCATCTTGTGTGCTCAGCTCCACATGCATTCAGAAGCCTCTTTCCCTGTGTGTGAAACTCACCCACTTTCCTGCAAGGTTCCGTGCTCTCTGCAGGTCTCAGAACACAGTGCAACTCTGCCCGCATGCTGCCTGCCTGGCCTTGTGCACAGCATGTGCATGGGAGGGGGAAGAGGTGGATGTTGAGGACCCTGTCTGTGTTCCATTAGCATGCATTTGTTGGCCATTGCTCTGGGCCTCAAGATTAGGAGTCTGCACAGCCAAGCACCTTCTCTCTGTGCTCTCTCTCTCTCTCTGCAGGCCAGAACATGACTGACCCTATGGGCCCTCAGAGAGTTTGCATTTGACCTTGGCTATGGGGTTTCCTGGGCATCAGTCATGCACGGCAGGCCTATCCCTGCTTCTCATTCACCCTCGCCCTACCTCTAGTCTGTGCGTGGCAGCCCAGCCCTGCTCCTCATTCACCCACCTCCAGTCTGGAGGCCGTTAATCATCTGGATTTCCTCTCACAGCCTATCATTGGGACACCTCCGACTGGATGCCAGGGGCACGGCTGTCTGACATCGAGGAAATGCCCAACTACGAGAGCCAAGATGGAGGGTCAGCGCACCAGGGCAGCACACGAGAGCTGGAGAGTGACTACTACCTGGGCGGATACGACATCGACAGCGAATACCCCCCACCTCACGAAGAAGAGTTCCTAAGTCAGGATCAGCTTCCCCCTCCTCTGCCGGAGGACTTCCCGGAACAGTATGAGGCCCTGCCTCCCTCGCAGCCAGCCTCGCTAGCTGGCACCATGAGCCCAGACTGCAAGAGAAGGCCCCGGTTTCACCCCAGCCAGTACCTCCCTCCTCACCCGCTTCCCAACGAAACAGATTTGGGGGGGCCACCCTCCGGCTGTGATTTTAGTACTTTTGCAGTGAGCATGAACCAGGGTCCGGTAGACAGCGTGTCTCTGTCCTTGCACAATCCCAGAGGCACCTCGTCCTCAGATACGCCAGCCCACCGTGGCTTTGACGACTCTGAGGTGGCCATGAGGGACTACGAAAGCGCGGGTGAGCTCGGCCTCACCAGCCTTCACATTCCCTTCGTGGAAACGCAGCACCAGACCCAGGTGTAGAGGACACCGTGGGTGCTGTGCCCGACTCTTACAGCATAGAAGGAAACAAGCCGCACTTGGGTCTGGACGGAGAGAACTCTGTGGAAATGTGGATTGTCTATGAGGAACCCCTTCACAAGTCTCACTGTCCCAGCAAGCTTGACTCCCAGAGTGACAAGGAGCCGCTCAGACGTGGTGTCTGGGGGAGGGGGAGCTGACAGTCCTTGTTTGTGAATACCTGTGTTTATGGCTTGGAGTGCAAAGGAGAAGAAATGAGTTGACTTTGTCAAAGGGGAGAACACAAATGGCTTTGTGCATTATTGTGCCCCGGAGAGTGGGAAAGCCAAGGTCCTTGCAGTATTAGCCCCGCCACGTCAGAGGGGCAGCGTCGCATGTGATTTTGAGCCAAGGAAGTGAAAAGAGCAGAACTGTCTGTCGGAGACATTAGTGTTCTAGATGAGAGAAAAGAACGGCAGTGTTCGACAGGGTGGACGGAAGCCTTTAAAACCGGCTCTGTTTTTCAATAAGCTGTCTAATTTTTCAGCTATAAAATTAGATTTGAGTAAAATGCTTAGTGTGCTCAGATTTTTTTCCTGTTTGTGTTAAGCATCCAGTATAATATAGTTGGGTTTGTGATCTCTGAGAAAGTTACCATGAATGAGCAATAAGAGGCTATCTAGACTCCAGTGGGTGGGTTGGGGGAGGTTAATGTTCAAACACCAGAAAGACTGTGTCGAACTTGTTCTGTGTTTTCTGGCAAATAATCCTAGCCATAGCTTGGTTCTAACATTCCTGCAGGAACAGACCCCTGCTGGTCTATTGCTCTCTAGAATGAGAGGTAGTGGAAGCCTAAACAGAATTCACAGGATGTGATGCTGTCCGACGTTTCCCCCTAGGGGACCATACTTCTTCACACTGAAGGGGAAAACCGTACATGTCGTTCTAAACTGGTAGTGGTGTCATTATAAATACTCTTAGGTTTTTAAAGAAAAAAGTAGGTAGTGACCATGTATAAATTGTATGTATGTGTGTGTGCATGCGTGCGTGCGTGCAAACGTGTGTGCATGTGTGTGTGAGAGGAGGGCCTAATAAGTATTGCTCTGAGTGTGCGCTCACCACAGCTGCTCTTGAGGGAAGCTGCCCCAAAGGGTTTAGGATTCAGTGTTGGAAATCACGAGGGGAGCAAGCGTTGCTCACCTTCTGATTTCTCTGATCTCTAGTCTAACAGGAACACCAAATGCCATATCTTACTCCAGTTCAGTTAACCTTATTTTAATAGTACTGCCATTTATAGTAACTTAAAGCAAGTACCGTGATTTTTTTAAAGACAGTATTTTCTAATTTTTCAGAACTACTATTTGAAACTGAGTAACATTTGATTACACCCTGGGGTCTCCCTCCCATCGGACAGATGGCCTTTGGCCATCACTTTCCCATGACAGAATACCCATCCCGCTGAAAATGCAGAAACCTAGCATTTGAAGGTTAAAGCTGGCAGTGGAGTGAACTTTGCTCTTTCACTCTGATTGGCTGTGGCCTCCGCCTTTGCAATGAGCCAGGGCAAGGAATGCACATTTGCACATCTGCCTGCGAGCAAATCTCTGTATGCACATGTGAAGGGAGCTGTCTGGGATCTGCCCATCAGTGCTCGGTTGTCTTTAATCCACTTACCTCTCTGCAGGAGCTGATGTTTCTGAACATCTGTCCTTTCATTCCCAAACTTCCTGAGTTAGAGAACATGTTTGTCCTCTTTCTCGGCTTTTCTCTTGCCTTCTCTAGCTTACACTCACCCGTGGAGGCATTATCCACACCATGGTCTTGAAATAAATGAATTTCACTAAGGCTGCTTTTAAGAATAAAGTCTTTAGTATTTTTTCTTATGTAAGAAGCACATTTGCAACAATCACAAAGAAAATGACAAACTAATGGTCCAGAATTGAATCACTGCTGTGCTTTTAATAACACAACAGCATAAAACCATCAAAGTAAAACCAACAGTTCATTTCTTGCCCCCAGGAAATATGAGATGAGATGCACACCAATGAGTCACCCGCGCTTAGCCAGCATCTCTTTTAGAGAGAACGCCTGGCCAAGCCTATAATGAAGGCATAAATAGAGCTATCTGCAGGCAGTGGCAGAGTCACTGAAGAAATCCCTGCCTACCCTCTCCTCTGACCTACATAAAATCCTTTTTTCTCTGGGACACCTTCCTGCTAAATTTCAGCAGAATAGCTCTACAGACATCCAGATGAGCACCGGGTCTACTGGATTCTTCTCTTTCTAAAAATTAGGTTTCCTTGCAGATCAGAGGGTATAGTGCAGCAACTTCTACATGCATCTTAGATGGGGTGACCACGGTTTAACAGAACGGGGTCCCTAAGACTTCCTAGGCTAGCCCCCACACTTTATAAGGGAGGAAGCTCGCCCAGAGAAAGGAAGAGACTTACCCAGGCTCAAACAAAAGTTAACTCATTGACTCAAACTGCCACCCATCCACGTAGACACCGCTCCTTATCTGTAACCTTGCACACCGCTAAGCTGCCCTGAGCCGGCAGCTGCTTCCTTCTACTAAACCCTTAACTTCCCACTGTTCCTTCACTGAAATATGCAAGGATAAACAAATAGAGACCTTTTCTCTGGGACTCTGATAGGCCCAGAGATTTGGACATTCATCAGAATGCTGCTTTTGCCAAATGAATGTTTCTAGGATGGAGTGAGCACAGAACTCTTCAGACTGTAGTCGTCGCTGGTAGTGAAACTGGTGGTATGTAACACACACACTAAGTGTGTCTTATGGGTTTAATGTTTTTGTTTCCTCCTCATAAGCTCTGCCTACTGTCTGTTCTTGTCCTGCCCACCATGATGGAAAATTAGCCGGTTAGTGTGTGTCTGTGTTTCTCCTGGGAGATGTGTGGCACACGTCTGGTTAGTGTGTGTCTGTGTTTCTCCTGGGAGATGTGTGGCACACGTCTGGTTAGTGTGAGAGAAGCCATCAGTCTTTGTCACACTTTAAGCGGGAGCTATAGGGCTGTAAAGGACAGAAATGTGCTTCATTCATCCCCTTCCTCTGAGAGGATTTTGCTGCTGAGCCTCATCCCATGCCTGCTTTCTGTGTACCCCTTTCCTGCCCACTCACAAAATGCAACGAGAAAGTCATAGCAATATACATAGGTCAAGGCCATAATCTTACATTTTAAGCTGTTGGAGTCACAGGAAGGCCTGGGAGATTTACCTGGAACTGCCATAGGAGATCACTATCTCAGAAGAAAAGGAAACATTTCCTATCGGCCTTTTCCTGCCGACTTCCTACCCACAGTGCTCTGTCTTCTTTGCAGATGCTGGCAGGGGGTGGGAGGTGGACAAAACATAATAAACAAGCAAAAAGACAAAGAGGATTAGAATAAACCATTAAAGACACATTTAGATGAAGACACATTTAGATGAAATAATTCAGGAAGGTCTAGTGTTCGTGTTGCGTGGATTGTCCGGCAGTCGTCTGGCCTCCTCACTGTTGCAGACCCTGGTCGTGTGCTTAGGTTTGTGGGACATGGGGCTTCCAAGGGGCGTTTCTTCAGTGCTGTCTTTCTGTGTGGTCCGTGAGGAGGCAGTGAGTGTGCGTGTTAGTTTGTCTTGCAACCTCCAGCTGCACTGCTGATTCAGACCCACCTCTTTGAGCTTCCGGTGGTGTGTCACAGGGAGTTTAAAGTCGCCATGCATGGGTTTGACATCAGCAAATATCTAGCCAGATGGCTAAGACAGGAAAAGAAAAGGTATTTCTTTCCTTATGTAATAATGAAAAGCAATAATTACAAGTGTTTAACAATACACAAAGGCCATAATTAGTCTCTTCCAGTGTTCGGAATACACTAGAGAATTCTGTAGTCGTTTGGGGTGTGTTGGGCCCATTAGTATGTCCTGAGGCACCCTTCAGCAAACCAGCCCCTGGATTGCTCTTATTTAACAATGCTATGAGCTCATGCTACTGGATTTGGGGAGTGACGGATGTGTCTGGAGACGGGGAGGGTCCTTGGAAAGCACTGTTACGAGACCGTGGTGTACATTTGCCTGTTATAAACAGGCTGGTTTGTAAAAGATGTATGTTTTTGGTGTTTTAAATGTTTATAAAATTGTATATAGGTGGTTTCCATTTTCCAGGCATTTGTAGATACAGTATTTGATGCCTATCCGGATGCTTTAATTTGGAGGGTCAAATAGAATTCTTAGTCATCCACATTGTTGTCTGCAAACTTTTGAGGTATACCCATGAAGAAAGAGGACTTTAGATTTGAAAAAGATGTTTTTATTCATTTCAAAGTGTATTGTGTCTTTTCTTAGATTTTATTGTTTTCATTTAACTCTGTTTTCAAAAACAAAGTGTTTCTATTGACTTTTTTTTTTTTTAAGATGAATGTGTTTGGCCCGGTTATTAAGCACTCGACCTTCACACCATTCCCTAGACAGAATAAGTTGTCAGTCTGCCACTTCCATGCACACTCACCTCAGCTCCATGCACACTCACCTCAGCTCCATGCACACTCACCTCAGCTCCATGCACACTCACCTCAGCTCCATGCACACTCACCTCAGCTCCATGCATACTCACCTCAGCTCCACCCACACACATCAATGCAAACCTTATGCAAAGGGGAAAGTGGTGACTCTACTGAAGTTTGCCCCTTACAGACATGGATTGTTCTGCACATATTGCTGTTGACGATATTCAATAGAACAAAAGGAAAATGAAGGAAAACAAAATAAAATAAAAGGATACAAAATTACAGCCAAAAACTAAAACAAGGAAAAAAAAATCTCCCCCATGGTGTCCAGGTTTGTAACTGCCAAATTTGATCATTAAAACATGTTTTCAAGTAAAAGGGAAAAAAATGCTATCAAACTCTGTCGCATTGGCTTTTCTTAAATGTCGCCTCACATTCCTCTGGCATTCAGGAGCAAGTGCTCTGACAGGAAGACTCATCCAGCTCCGCCTATGTCTCAGAGAGAGTCTCTGTTCTGAAGGACATGGTATAGGTTCTTTTGTTTCATCTCAGATATTTTTAAATGATATGATGAAGCTCATATAGTAAAATCTATGTAATGTCTCACTGGGCCTATGGTCTGTGGGCCTTTGAAGCATGAGCTACATGGAGACTAACCAGTCGCCAACTTCCACCTCAGCTGGAATCACTGGGCCCAGTCCCAGCCCTCTAAAGCAGGGCTCTGCTCCCCCACCCCCAATCCTACTCTCTGAATGCTAATCTGAAAAAGTGACTTCGAAGGTTCTGAAAAAGGGATACTGCGTGTCTCCCCTTGGCGAGGTGGGTCAGGGTCAGCAGGAAAGGCCCCTGAGCTTCTGGGAAAGTGGGCTGTTCCTTCATCCACTCCATCCACTGTGGGACTACACCTTCTGGGTGCTGGCCAGGATGCCAACGTCTTCAACCACAAGCCCACTGGAACACCACAGCTAAGCACCAGTCCCCTTCAGGCTTTTTCAGAGAAGTCCTCTAAGCTCAAGGGCTCCCTTCAACAGAGTAACCCTTGGTGACTTGTGAGACACAGGTAAGTAGTGAAAGTTGGTTAGGAAGGTGGGCACCAACTTATAACATGCACCATTCTTTGAATAAATACTCCTATTGCAGCTGACTTGGGTAAATGACAGGAGGGATGGATAGAGACATTTCATATTATTCATTATAATATGTTGAATTTCATACTGTAGAAATGAATCTGCATGTATGTGTTATTACCAGATTAGCATATACACACAATGTCGGTCTTTTGCTCTGTATTAACCCAGAGGAGATTAAGGTTGAGATCACCAAATAGTAATTTGACTTGTTATTAAAAGATGCCGGATTCCAAACATTCATGGAGCAAAGGAAGAGAGCAAGGGATGATGGAGAGAGAAGCACAGATGTTAGTCTAAGAAACATGGCTGACCACTATATAGGCACCAGGGACGAGGGATGAGGGAAGCACCCCACCCACACCACCCCTGGCTTGACTCAGAGCTCCTAAAACCCCAGCCCAATGACTCAGCATTAACAGCCAGAAGCAACTGCCCATACTCTTCCACTATCTCACTGGGCATGCTCCAAAAGGCCCTCCCCTCTGCCCAGCCCGGCACTGTGTCTGCTCCTGGCCAGAGGCAGTCACCATTCTATTCTTCTCCCCAGTAAATCTCTCGTGTGAGGTTTTCTGCAGGGTGACTAGGTAGTATCCCTTGGCTCCCAAATGCCAAGATGTCCTTAAGCTGTAAGAACTCTCTCACATCTGACCAGAGGGACGAAAGTAAACTCAAAAATAACTCATTCCTTGGGGCTGGAGAGATGGCTCAGTGGTTATGAGCATTGCCTACTCTTCCAAAGGTCCTGAGTTCTATTCCCAGCAACCACATTGTGGCTCACGACCATCTGTAATGAGGTTTGGTGTCCTATTCTGGCCTGCAGACATACACACAGACAGAATATTGTATACATAATAAATAAATAAATAAATATTAAAAAAAAGAATAACTCATTCCTTTTTTTTCCTCCTGTTTCTCATAAAGTCTGTTGGGCATGAAATACAAGACAGTTTTTAGGGTGCGAACCTGCTGCTTTCGCAGACTGTTGACTCTCTAGATAACACACAACTTAAAGATTCAATTCCTGTCTCTCATCACTAACCTTTGTGTGACGTTTATTCCGGTTATAATCTCAAGCTATAAGGTGGTGGGAAATAGCTTATAGGGTTCTGAAGAGCCGAGCTCTTGCCTGTCACAAACCTGTTTGAACCAACTGGATCCCCAAGGGTTCCCTCCACACCAGAAGTGATCTGCAGTCCCAGGAGTGACTCTCCTTCACCCAGTATCACTATCCCTGCACATACTGGTTTTCTTAAAAAGTTTTGACTTAAAAATTAATTCTGTTTACAGCTAACTGCCTTTTCTCTCCTCAGTCATTCTTCATTTTGGTAAATTTGACCATACTAGTGAGAAGGACCTACTGAGAGGACAGTGTTGGTGATGCTGGTCTCCTGCCACTCACCAGCACCTCACATTTCTTCCCACCCCCCTACTCCATCCCACTCGGCCCAGGCCTGTACCACCACAGCAATGTACTCAGGTATTGAGCAGGAAGAAGACATTCGATCACAGGTGTGTCTTCCCTGTGCTTCCCTTTGCAGGAAAACCTTGGCTTAAATCTTCTCCTATCCTTGTAAAATGGTAGGGCAACCCAGAGATGAGACAGGTACCTTAGATGGACAAAGAGAGTAGGTTTCATCTGTCTGCTTTCTGTGCTGTGTCTTTGAAGTAGGAGAGCTGGATTCTAATTTGGAAATAATTCTCTCAAAAGCTCTCTCCTTGGATCAGTCCCAAAGACTACTTCCAGTTTGACATTCACCAGGAAGATTCACATGACTCTACAGCAACCATACCTACTCCTATGATTTCCCTAAATAAAAGAATGCAAAGAAAATAGAGAGGAACAGCTGCATGGGGTAAGGCGGGCATGCACCGCTAACAATGCTGTTTGCAGAAACACTGAAGAATGAATCCCTCTGAGCAGTTCTGGAAACTACCAGAGCCCTACCAAAACTCAATGCCCAGATACCATCCATAGCCAGTCTTTCACAGAACCGCAGTCAAGGTGAAAGAGATTTTATGCCCAGTTTCTTAAGATTTTTACCAAAGTGACATCCCTGGTTCCACAGACTCAGCAGTTTATGGTTTCTGCTTCTTACAGTGAGCTGTGGGATGCTGAAGCCCACTAAGAGCCCACGGGCACCCCTGTTATGGTGTTCCCTTCCCTCTTCCATAGCAGTGGAAGCAGTGGCCCTCCATGCATCTGCCAGAGCATCCTGTATGAGCACATGAAGGTCAACGGAGTGATTCTGTCAACTATGGGACTTGTACGACATCACCACAACTTACTATCAGGTTAGGAACAGGATATCTGCACAGGAGGGAAGAGTTTTCCACCCAGAAGTTTAGCTTGAGAAATATTAGTTTGTTTGCATTGTTTTTTTTTTCAAATTTCTGCCACTTTTGCCTTACTCTTTTGCTTTTAAAATTCCACTTAAATTTTAAACAGTTTTGCCAACTCTATACTGATTTAATAAGGAAAATTTGGATCAATCTTCATATCAAACATTAAGTGGCAATGTTTACCTGCACACACATACACACACATGTACACACATACACACACATGTACACCTTAACAAGCTTTAAAATGGCTTAAACAGAAAAATAAATATTTAAAAATTTACATATAAGGTGTCACATACCATGAAACACATAGAGGCTTATGTTAATTATAAACTGTTTGGCCTATTGCTCAGGCTTATTATTAACTAGCTCTTAAAACTTAACCCATAATTCTTGTCTATATTTAGCCACATGGCATGGTACCTTTTATCAGTAAGGCATTCTCACCCTTTTTCCTCTGCTTCTGGCTTGCAGTAGCATCTCTGCCTTTCCTCTTCCCAGAATTCTCTTAGCCTGGTCTCTATGCCTATACTTCCTGCCTAGATACTGGCTAATCAGCATTTTATTAAACTAATACGAGTGACAAATCTTTCCAGGGTGCAAGAGCAACCTCTCACAGCAGTAGTGTGTCCTCCCCAACCCCTTGCCTTCTTTCATGTCCTTCTGCCCACCCTGTTCTCCCTCATCACTTAATCCCCTGCCATCTCCTCTCTTCTTTGGTTGTTTAGGCTGTACCTATATTTATAACTGAATAGACAGAAGTTTAAGACATTTCTCATATAAAAAAGGGTTTCTTCTATTTATTTATTTCATTAATTATTTATTTACTACAGTCTGATTATCCCTTATCCCTTATGTACGGGTCCAAAAGTGTTTCAAATTTCAAATTTTGTTTAGTTTGACTTCTTGTATGTACATAATGACCTGTGTTGAGGATGGGACCTTAGTCTAAACATGCAGTTCATTTAAATTTCATATCAAACAGGATATATTTAGTGGGCCTGGAACCTATCATGTGAGGTCCAATATAGAGAGGTTTTATTATGATGTGTGTCAATAATCAAATGTTTCAGATTTTGTAGCACTTGGGGCTTCAGATTATGGACACCCAACTTGTATTACTTCTTTCTTTTTATTATTTCCTGAGAAGTACAAGTTCATTACAAACTGAGAAAATGAAGACAGAAAAAACGTTGTTCTTTTATCAGCACCTTTTTGTGCTCCTCCTTTTCATGGGTTTTATGATCTGTCAGCTCTTCAGACATCCCCACTGCACTCCAGAGGATCCCACCTTCTCCTAGTTCCCTTTCTTTGGCTTTGTATACTCCTTCTAGGCTTCTTGCAAGGAGTGCTCCTTGATTGGATAATCTCACTGAACCTTATAACCACTGAAAAATTCAAATGAAGAAACTTCATATATATGTGTTATGGGCTAAATATTCTGTCTCCCCAAAATGCACATATTGAGACCCCAATCCTAATGTTCTGGTTTGGGAAGTGGGGACTTGAAAGGCATCAGTTACAAGTGTGAAGCTCTCACAAAGAGGATTAGTGTCCTTACTATGAGAGGAGAGGCCCTGAGAACACTTCTGCCACCTTCTTCCCTAATAAAAAGTGGGCAGTGCAAAATGGAGAGATCCCCAGACTCCAGCAATGCTGGGGCCCTGATTTCAGACTTCCACTCTCCAAAACTGCAAAAGATAAGATTTTGCCATTTATACATTTTCTAACCTATAATACTTGGTAATCATATCCCAAATAAACAAATGTAGCCCACAAAGTCCCATGTACAGGTGAAAGGAGGGTTCTTAACAAGGTTTGTTTTGTACGTATAAATTTTTACGAGACTCGCTGTGTCGCTTACCACCCTAAACACCTCCCTTGTCCAACCTGGATCGA